GGGGCGGGGCGGGAGGCGCGGCGGGCGTCGTCGGCCGCGGCCTCCACTGCTGCTGTGTGGCGCACCCAGCCCGACCAACAGCTGCGGTTCGCTGTTAATGTAACGTTTGATTGATTTATATGATGTCGCTTTTTTGATACGACGCAACGGCGGCGTGCTGCTGTCTGGCTCCCCCCCTCCACCCTTCCCTCTCCTCCGCCACTCCCTGCACCGGCCCCTATTGGCGCTTGACGTCGCTTCCGGAAGTAATGAAAACTTTTTTTCCTTTTCCTCTTTTGTCGACACACTTCCCTGACCTGTGTATATCTACTAAAGTTAATTATTGCAGCGTCTCCCAGTTTTTACTCTAAATTTTTCTAGGCGAATAAAAATCACATCAAATTTCGGAAGAGGGGGAGGGTGCACTGAGGTAGCCCATGCAATAACTGTGTGTGTGCCATGCCCTGCCCGCCAGCCGGGCCCGCGGCCATGCGGCAGTCAGACGCGATTGTTGTTATTTTATTCCCCGCTGCAGGTGCACATGCATGCATAGGACCCCCCACCCCCCTCCGCCCCTGCGGGCGCGCGCAGCAGCGGCGCCATCCAACCCCCTGGCCTGAGCCTGGCTTTCTCTATCTCTCTCTCTCTCCCGCGACATCACTGTCGATGTCAACTGATTTCAAACGCGTCAGTTATTTTGCTCGGCTTTTGAAACGATGCCAGAGTGAAGCGAAATAATTGAACTGCCCGGGGCACTTATTGGAGTGGCGTTGGAGCGCCGTGTGTGTTGTCCGTAGCGCGTTTGTGTGTGTGAGTGTGACGCCGCATTGTTTTATTGTAAACTAGGGTCGGCCTGCTTTGTTTTCTCGTATTGGGGCGGCTCAACTGCGCATCACGTGACGCGGGCGGGACACATATTTGTGCAGCGCATAGGATCCAGCGCGGCGGCCGGGGGGCTCACGCTGCCGCCCTTGACCAGGGACGGGGAGGGGGAGCAATAACCGGAAGTGAAACGATAACCTCGGTGATAACTCTCGTTCAGAGTGCACCAGGTGCGGGCTGCTTGTCTCGCCCGGCTCCCGCCCCGCCGCCGGCGTGCGTGGCTAGACTGTACCGCGGCGCACGCGCGCGGGCGGGTTGCCTACTCGCCCACGTAAGGCGTCATGGTCGGGACGCGCTGTCAGGCAACGCGCGGTACAGTCAGCAGCAGCTGCCCGGTGCTGACATCGACTGACAGTGCCGGCAGGACTGCCTTCCGTCTCTCTCTCTCTCTCTCTCTCTCTCTCTCTCTCTCTCTCTCTCTCTCTCTGTTGCGTTACTAACCGTTTTGTAATTAGTGTCCAGTGAGAGTCGAGGGCCTCCTTGCCGTCGAGGGCAGGGCACCCGGCCCGGCAAAGGCAACACCTCGGGCAACACCCTTTAGGGCAACATCTCTCGCGGGGTCTATTTCAGCACCTTCCTTCCCCTTTGCTCTCCCACCCCCCGCTGTCTTCACCACCCTTTACCCCCCC